CAAATAATCTGTTATATGACTTATTCATCAAACTCCAAATCATTTATTATGTAATGGATTGTTCCCATTCTAATTTATTATTTGCCTAATGCATATAACTGTTCGTTCGTGTTTTATTATATTATTGATGAATTTACTTACAAATAACTTATTTTATGACTGATTCGTCTAATTCAAATTTAGACTGATTAATTCCAATGATCCTATCATAATTATGATCAATCACTCAAATTTCAGTTATTTTTTTATGACCACTCCCTCTGATTTCTGTATTATTTATATTTATTAGTAAAAGCAGGCCATATTTCATCGTCTTACTAAAAATATGCCCTGTCTCGAGTTGTAAATCCAAAACACACTCGCTAACGATAGCAGGTAAGCTAGCCACTCAAATTTATGAACTAACCTTCACGGTGTCCAGTTTATGGCCTCAAATCTCAGCACGCCTCACCCATAATCTCAATTGTTAGTCCAGTATGGTGTAAAGACTGAAAGTGAAAATTTTCACTGAATTTTGTTTATTATCCCACAACACATTCCTTACGCTCAAGGGACAGCTGACAGGAAAAAAGAAATTCGTCTCTCCTTCACGTGTAAGTGCCATACAGTCTTGTGTTAATTCGGGTCGCGTAGCGCCATCTGCTGTAGAGGGAGAACGACTGTGCGCCATAGGCTGCGTCTCGAAACCTAGTGTGCCGCCTACCTAGACAGCATTTTGGAGTGGTTAATGCCTCGTTCCTTATGTGTCTAGATAGTCAGCTCACGCGTTTTTAGACACAACCATACACAAGAGCTAATCAGCTTATGGTTTCAGGCAGCCACCATTTTTTTCTTACGGCGTAAATAACTTTAAACGTTATTGTTGTGCATTGGTTTGAACATTAAGGCAAACATTTATATATGTCTGGTGTTTTTAGACAAGAAACAATCCTCTGGGTCCTGTTCTTCGACTGTGGTTTAACAAAGCCCGGATTAGTTTACATATCCCGGATTGAGCTGGCTCCATAGGCTATCTGAAATTGAGTTTTTTCCGATTCTTCCAACACATATCTCGGATTTAAGTATCGCTAATTTCAAGAAGACTGTTTATTAAGGTTCGTGTGAAGATTGAACAGTTCCCTAACTAACACCATGGCTAAACAACAGCGTGCTGCATATTTCAGCCCGACTGAATTGCAACTTCTAATTGAAGGATATAACGAAGTTAAACATTTAATAAAAACCAAAGGGAATACAATAGCGGCTGCAAAAGTCCGTCAGGATGCGTGGCGAAAAATATCTGTCAAATTAAATGCGTAAGTAGCCTATATTCTACATGTAATTAGTCTGGGAGAGTTCATTATGCAGTAAACATGACGCATGTTCTACACTACAGCTAGTGTATGAATTAAATGTCCAAGCTCAGCTGCTTTCTCTCTCATTCTGCTCTTTGTCACGCCCACATTTCAATTACAGATCCAACCCTATGGGACCTAGACGAACGTGGCAGCAAGTGAAGACGAAATACAAGAACATCGTTCAAAGTGGTAGGTCGTAGGTTTTTCGATTTTGGTGATGCCAGCCCACGGGCCATGTTAATATGATAATCCCCATTGTTAGGGACTCCCTTCCTATATATAAAGGCCGGTCTACTGTGTGTGAAAAATAGTACGAATAATATTATAAATACAACATGTTATTTGCCAAATTAAATAACTTGCTTTTACAATGTACTCAAATATTATCTGGATAAGTAGCTAAGTTCTACTAAGTCAGCATAGGCCTGTCTCTTTTTTAGTGAGTAATGTCAGGTGTATAAACCAGAATTATAAATGTATAAATATGAAGAGAAACACTTATATATTGCACTATAATATAATTATAATATAATAAATATTTCCCCATATTAAATAAGGTAATAATAAGGTCTTAAACCCCTAAATGGATTGCAAGAGGTGAGGAGAAACTCTCACAAACTACTCTTGAAAGCATGTGCAGTACAACACAGATTTGTTGATTACATTTCTGTGTTTAAAAACTATAGCTTTCAATATAAATCTATAAATAAAGATAAATCTTATTATCTTTACTCAGTCTTTAGAAAGCAGATTGAAATTGTAACCAACCCTTTTCTTGTACATGTTTTACACTTTTTCCCCTGTGATATTTTCTGCAGACCCCTAGCACCCCCTTGTGCCCCGGGCCCAGTTTGAAAACCCCTGGTCTATATAAAATACTCAATGTGTTTTGAAGTGTTTTTGAATTGAATAACTTCAAGGATGCACATAATTTAGCTAACAAGAGAAGGGCTGCCCTGAAGACGATGGGACTACTTCCAGTCCCAACAAAAGAGGAGTACATAGATGAGGAGGAGCTGGCCCCTGAGAACGATGTGGAGGGTCCTATCATAGAGCACATAGTTGGCGGATGCTGCTCTGATCCAGGAGATGTGGCTGGCTGCAGCAGTTATGTCAAAGGTATCCGCACCTCTGTCTTTCTTTGTCTCTTTAAATCAATACTGCAGTAAATAATATACATCATTCATATCACATCATTTCAGTGACTGAACATGGATTGAACCTCCTTCCGCCACCTATATTATCAGATGATGAACTGGACTCTGTAAGTTTGCAGCTCTGATTTAAAAAAAAAAAAAAATGTATGGGATGTCAATTATCATAGTATTACATAATATAATATAATATGTAATACTAAATGCTTACAAATTTTTACTAATTGTTATTTATACAATATTTGACAGAGTATGTGGCAGGGCATAACAGTACTATTTGGTGATATAAAATGCTGGAAGATGTTTTAATGCTCACTTTTTTTTAAGGAACCTTTGGAAGATGTTAAGACCCTGTATAAAAAGTATCTTCAAGTCGAGATTTACAACAGAAAGCAAGAAATGGCATACAGAGCTTTAAAAATGCGCAAAGTGGAGAAGGAAATACAGTTGTTGGACAGAAAGTTGGATGTAAGTGATATTGTCACAGTCAAAATAAAAGGAAAAGTGTACCTTAAGACCCACTAAAATCTGTGTTCAGACATTTTTATTAGTTTAGTCAATAAATGATGGACAAAATGAAATATAAATATTTGTTTTCTGTGCAATTTTAAAGTGTAAACTAAAAATGTAATTACAATTTTATATACATATAATATATATATATATATATATATATATATATATATATATATGTGTGTGTGTGTGTGTGTGTTTTACTTCAAAGTTGATAGTGGGCTGAATAGGTGTACTTACCTGAATATTTATTATTATTTGTTTTTTGTGTCTGAAACTACAGTGTAAATCTGCTTTTTTTTCTCATTACAGGATGATCTTTGATATGCATCAATAAAGCATTTTTATATAAACCTACTGTTTTCCTCACTACATTTAAAAATTCACAAGTCACAGCATTTATGCGTAGCAAGAACTCATTATACTGAGGTTCTTGTCAAGGTGCAAGCTATAGTGACATGAGAAAAGGCTGACATTCATAGCATCTGTCATCAGTCTGAATGATAATGGGTTGGCATTTCCACCTTGCTGAAATCTCTGACATGAAGCTGACTCCATGATGGATATAATGAAGTTGACCCTAGCACATTTGAACTCAACAATACGGACATGTACTATCCAAACTTAAATGGTTGTAATTCAAGAATGCTGTGGAATATAGACCTATGTTTGATCTTGTTTTAAAGAAGACACTCAGCAGCAAAGCCATCCAGTACGTCTAACCAAGTTGTGTTCCAAATTTGAAGTTGATATCACAAAAATTGAAGTTCCTTGATGTTTAAAGTACCATTTTCATGATTCCATGATATAGTTTTCACAGAATTTTAAGTTCGTAAGCTTTTGAATGATACCTAATTTATGTTGATTACTAAAATATGTGATATGAAAAAAGGCAATTAAAAAAAATGCCAAGCATCCCACTAGCAGGACGGATATAACATAATTTACTTTCCCTTATGTTGTTTTAAACCTGTATGAGTTTCTTTCTTCTGTTGAACACAAAAGAAGATATTTTGAAGAATGTTGGTAACCAGACAGTTGACAGTAGCCATTGACTTCCATATAGGGAAACAAATGGAAGTCAATGGCTGCCGTCAACTGTCTGGTTACCAACATTCTTCAAAATATCTTCTTGTTTGGAAGAAAGAAACTCATACAGGTTTGGAACAACATAAGGGTGAATAAATAATGACAGAATTTTCATTTTTGGGTGAACTATCCCTTTTAATAGTGCTGTTGTCGGACATCTTATTTATTAAGTCATATGTAACAATGCTTGCTATAAGCATTAAGCAAGCAAACAACCAAAATTAAACATAGGCAGTTAGCATTCAGAAAATAATTATTATAATAGCACTTGGAAAATACAAACTCATTCTGGCAGCAAATCTAATGACAAGCATGGGAAAATGCTAAAAAATAAATAAATAAATAAATATTAGCTGCAAAGTCTCAAGGAACCAGACCTGTTCATCCTTCCATACATCTCATTTATTTCAAGAATCAGTGATTTGTCCAACATTTACGGCGTTATTTCAGAGAACGTGCACTTTAGGCTTCTTCACATGCTTGTGTGTGCGTCTCTTGCAGTCGCAAGAGTCTTGAGAATCAATGCACTGCCCAGGCTATTTATCTTGTATAGCTGGAGGCAGGGAAAGCAGATTGTAATGCTTTTATTCCTTTTTCTTCTTCTTTGAACTGTAAACCAGTTGGTTTTAAAATCCAGCTTCCTTGATAATATTTTCATTTTCTTTATGCAATATTTATGCTCCACTCTGAAGATATGAGTTACACTTGAATCGTACATTTCCATTCCCTGTCTATACACATGCTCCTTAAAACCATGTTTGGCTCATGTAGTGCTCATGTAGAGCATGTGTGCTCAAGTATGTGCTTCAAAATGAATGTACTGAAAGTTTTCATCTAATGGTTATTAGTTATTGGAAAAGCCAGATTCCACCCATGATGGGAAACATGAAAACATACTCTCCAGATGTTCTTTTTTTCTTTTTTAATATCATTCAATGTCGTGTACAATGGATACAACACAAATACACCACAGTTTTACTAAAATTACATAAAATATTCACGACTGGAACTCACAAAACATTATTTTATAGAAGCTGCTGGCCTCTCAGATTTTTTACAGAAACACAAGCACACACACAAACCAAACTTTTCTGTTTCTCAGACACACTTCCATTCACACGGTGTAGGTTTTTTTAAGCATGGCTCTGGATCAGTGATGAACAATCTACTGTAGATAAGAGGTAAAACATCTTAGTAGGAATCAGTATTTTGTCATCTATAAATATTCCACCAAATATCAGTGCATCCCTCCATACCACCTTTAATGTACGAATTACTTTTACTTTTTTACGTTTTCACAAACAAGTACCTCAAAGTCCCAGCTGTGAAGTACGATACATTTTTGGCAATTCTCAAATATTCCAACATAATTACATAACAACACAGAGATGGCAAATATATAAGTGTTTTCTTCTTTTTCTTATTTAAAAATCGTTGTCCATGTCATGCCATGTTCTTCCTCTTCAAAATGTCCTTACTGAGGGTGAAAATTACTGGATTCCTCTAAACAAACACATAGCAAACACCATGGCAAAGAGCTGATGAAAGAGAAAGAAAAACAAATACAATTACCAAAGACTTCTCTAAAAATAAGGTTTTAAAAATATTCTACATTGAACAACATTTCATGGCGAAGCTACTCATACTCTCTCCACTAGGTGACGATCACAACTCACAGTTCTTTTTTGCCAATACATTCGAAGTGTAAATTGATCACATCATACTTTTAACTTTCATTATAAAAATAAAAATCATAACCTTACTTCAATAGTCAGCACCACAATAGCAAGGGCTCCAGCCATATAGATGTATGTCTCAAAATAGTCCACCACTGCTGAATAACAGCCCTGTTTGAAAGAAGTGTGAATTTCAATATGAGAGAGCAAAAGGTTGCTGCTTCAATGGATATTGAATTTCTCATGTATTCATCGCTCATAGTGTTGTCGTTCTAAATGGTTAGAATCAATATATCTAGGCCTATTGTTAGAAGAGTAGCTACACATGACTTTATGTCATATTGTCATATGACTGAAATTCACATTCATGTTGAGAGATATTATGCAGACGGTTATATCCGCCTAATTTTTCAACGCAAAGTAAGGTGTTTTCTGTTAATGTGCGAGACTTCCGATTTATTAGCCACTATAGGGAAATAACAAGAATAATATATCAAAGTGCAGTAAACTGTAAAACGGTTTGCTCTATAAACTAGTGTGTTTACAATTAAGACAACACATTAAAATAATATGGTAAGAAATAACAGTTTGCAATATCGAGTACAGCATAACGAGCTGTGTAGTACAGCTAAAAATAAGTGGAAGCGATTGACACATTACAATTACAGGTAACACTTTAGAATACTGTTCCTTCATTAATTAATATCACTGAAGACTAGAACTACTATTATTCAGGTTGATAATTAATATGCAATGTATAATATAAGGTAATGGTAACCCATTAGTAATTAATCAAGTGTTACTACATCCTTCAAAAGGAACTATTAATCATTTGGATCAGTATTCTAAAGTGAAAAACTTGATAACTACCTAATATTGACTGAAGTCATACGCTTTTGAGGTTTTTGTAAGGTTTTGGATAGTAACGACTCAAGTGTTAATACATCTTTCTAAAGGAACTACTAATCATTTGGATCTGTATTTTAAAGTGAAGATCATGGGAACACACTAGTAATGACTCAAGTGTTACTAAATCCGTCAAAGGGAATTACTATTCAAAATCTTACAAAAATCTCAAAATCTTACGAAGACTTCAGTCAATATTAGGTAGTTATCATGTTTTTCACTTTAGAATACTGATCCAAATAATTAGTAGTTCCTTTAGAAGGACGTAGTAACACTTGATTCCTTACTAGTGGGTCACCGTTACCTTTTATTATACCTTAAATTATGCATTATTCATGTTAATTATGAACCTGCATATATAGTAGTTCTCTGGGAGGTATGAAAAAAATATAGCTACTGATTAGCTACATTCAACTGAGCGCTATTACTTGTTTCTTGTTAGTTAATAGTAGTTACTAGAATGTTAATAGTGCATTACTCATTTGTTCCTGTGTAGTTATTCATTAATGAAGGAACAGTATTCTAAAGTGTTACCAAATTACAAATGGCACTGCCAGCTCTCACCTGAAAAATAAGGTGGATACCACGTCCCTTTTTTCTCCAATAAAAACATGTTTGGTTTTCTTCCTACTAATCAACTGTAAACTACTTGATGCATGTATTTACCAATCTGTAAACTCATTGCTGACCTTGTTCCGGATTGGCATAACTCCCTTGAGACAGTCCTCTTTGCTCATCATCAGATCGTTCCTCTGACAACAGACCTCTGGCACTATTCTGCTGGGGTTCAGCCTCCTGAAGAGGCTCTGATCCTCAAAGTCTTCAGCACTGTTCACCCCACAGCAATCAAACTGTGGAGACACCAATAGTCAGTTAAACGTCCTGAATGCCATTATTGTGTAGTAGAGCTCGGTAGAGGTATTCAGTATTATTGTACTGTGGTCATAATGGCGTTCCATGTGGAGGTGAAAACATCAGTGCTATTGGTGCCTTGGTAATGTGTTTTCAGCTCCTTGGTGAAGTAATCTCTGGTGAGCTGTTGATCCAAGGATAGACAAGATTAGTGAGAGCAGAGGTATATTACAGGTGGCTTGATGATATCCAGCTATAATAATACTCACATGCTCCCGGAATATGAACGCCAGAATGGCCACCGACAGCTCTGCCAGGAATATGACGAGTATGAGCATGAAGAACTGTGGGAGAAAAACAGGATTCTGAGATATTTGAGTAGTCCATTAAACAATAAATATACAATATTGACTGACACACATTGCATATTGACCCATACCAATAAATGATATCTAGAAAGAAATAAAAGTCCATACAAACAGTAGGAGACATTTATTTTCTCGTATGGCTCCGCAGCAGCCAAGAAATCCCAGTAGGAACAGCATCCCGCCCAAGATCAAAATTGCATAGACTCCAGTAAACAGAAGAGGGTTTGCTGCCACAATCTCCCGGAAACCTGTCGGATCCACCAGCACCCAGATTCCCACCCCTAGAAGGAATGCACCTCCAAGCTAAAGGAGGAGAAAAGGGCTTAGTAAAGACCCCTGCACAATATAAACACAAAATATGATTTTATGATAGCTATATTGATGCTCAGCTTTTCTATGGAACTGCACATTTTCCCACAGCACTTGGCAGTAGGAAGTTCATGAGGCTGCTAACAAAACACTTTTGAGAAACAAAGGAAGTGCAATGTGGTTCATGAGCAAAACGAAGAGAAGTTGGCGCAAGATCAATGCACTTTTTCATACCGTAACATTAATATTTGTTCAAAGTGGCAACTTGGATCATTCAGACTCTTTTGAATTACGTATTTTGTTAGGAAAGCTATCAGGAATCTGCACCTGCATATCATCAGACATTGTTTTCTAAAACAGATACTTCACACACTTCCAACCAAAGCAAATCATCAAATAAAATACAACTAGCATGATGTCACAGGCAAATCTTCTCAGCCTACAGTGAGCCTACAGCCTTTATAACTGAGTGGTCCTGTGCCATTTACAGTTTTTCTCAATTGCTAAAACACAATTTCTGAATCCTTGCTCCTTTTTCTGAAAACATTAAACACAAAACCTCATCTTCAAGCACTATTTACAAAACCTCTGACTCTTCTTGCAAAATGAAACTTTCGCCTCAAAACAGTTTTAGTTGTGTTCAAAATCAAACACTGCTCTCAAATCATAGACAAAGTGATCAAAATGATATACACTATCAAGCAGTCAGTAAACAATACACCAAAAAATAGAAAACACATTGTTCAAAACATACAGTTCTCGAACGGACGGCTATTCTGTTTGTAGACTTAGCCGTGACACATTACTGTACCATCAAAAGTTCAGGGAGAAGTACATTTTTAATCTTAAAACAAATTTCATATTTGTCCGTCATTGTCTTTTGATGAATGAAAACATCAGAGTAGCGCAAAATTAATCAGAAATTACTACTCTGCTTTGCTCTTTGCAATTTTATTTGTTCTTCCTCCTCCTTGTACCCCTATTTTTACAGTACAGTGCCCTGCATCTCACAAACTTCTCCTTTGCCAGTTCTATTGTTTGATACTGTAATTCTTGTTCTTTGTTGAAATGAACCTGCAACCAGTAAAATCTATTGAGCATTCAGTACTGTAACAAATGGTACTGTTACAGTAACGATGTTCGGGGCCATATAATTTGTTCATTGTACAGTATACAGCTTACAATGCACTGTACTACAGTATACAATACTAAAAGGGACAAAAATCAAAGGAGTAAACGTGATCAGTGTGCTTCTTCTTGTCTTTGGGCATCATTTGAAACAGGTTAAATCAATTTTGAGTGGTTGTGTTCAATCAATGACATGTGTTCTCTATTTGTATTTGATCATTGCCACTTGTGTTTACCAGTATGGATGACGTGTGCATTACAGTGCAGAATAGGTTTTGAGAATGAGAATGTGTTTAGCTTTTTGCTGAAAAGTCTAAGTAAGATCTGCAAATTGTGTTTTGCCATGTGAAATAGTTTAAGGTATTGACAACAGACTGCACATTTAGCTAAATGAGTTCAGGCAACTGAGAACTTTGTTCAGCCAATGGGTTTTAGTGTTTTAGCAATTGAGAAAAACTGTAAGAGAAAGTAAAAGAGAGCACTCACAAAAATGAAGAAGTTGAAGATGAACATGAGGTACTTGATGCAGCTTAGACAGTCCCCCTCCATACTTGTGCCTCTTGCTGAAGCTTTTCCCTGCCCCTGAATAAACATCATGAGAAACAAAGAAAGCCATTACTGAAGACGCAAAAGTCACATGCGAGTCTATGAGTCAGCGTTGTTAGTGACTGCTGGACTTTTGTGTTTTGAAGCTCATTCAGTGAGATCATTTTGTGAATTTGTCACTTAAATAATACATTGGCATTGACGAAACACACATTGACTAACATATTCTGTTCAGGCGTTCCAGATGAATAATGCTGCATTATGTCGTTCACAGAATGACTGGCATCTCCTGTAATCATATTCCTGGAAATGTAACACAAAGATGGATGTAAAACATTTTCTCAATAAAAAACATTTCACACTGACTGGTCATGCATGTCACAAGCTGACTCGACGTACGCGATGAGTTGTTTGCGAAAAGGAAATGGCTTAAAAAAACACCATCAGGACTGCTGGAGCACATTTGTTCATCTTCACACCAGCCAGCTAAATAAACATGTCCTTTCAGCACTCCAGACCGCAAGCTGTGTGCCCCAAACCTTCTCTGAATTCATCTAAGCACTCTCTGCTCTTTTCTGCTGATATGCTCCAGGTGTTTTCAAATGGTGCTCCATCACCTGCGCTTCTTTAATGATGCAAATTTCCCTTTGCTTCGCTACGAGACAATAGAGGGTGCACGCTGTACAAAAACACTATTAGAGGGTGCTAATACAACATAATAAGAGGTCGAATTAGATTCTGGTTACCTGAAATTAATGATCATTTTTAGCCTGCCCTCCATTTATACTCAGTGTCCTGCTTTTCAGCTGTGTGATGATAAGGAGGAATATTATGTTTGATGCCTTTTCTCCTTTTAAGAGGAATAAGGTTGATGGTAAGTGCTCCCTCCATACAAAGCTGAAGTGTCCCTCGCTGACAGTGCACTCTCTATAATTACAGGCCATTAGGGGAATTTAGGTTAATGATGGTACAGTTCTTCATTAGTGCACTGGGTCCGGAGCACACCTCCCTCAGGTAGCTTTGATTGAGCTACTGCCTCAAAAACTGGCCCTTGGGATCAGGTGGAGCAATAGTGCGTATAATAATAGGGACGCTCATATTTTCTGCTTGCTATGACCAGCCAGTCTCTCGGCTAGCCTTATGCAGCTGTGGTCCCTGTAAAAATAGCTCCGAACAGCTGGCCGATTTCACGGGAGCTAACTGTAGATGCCGTGGCAGCAAATAATTCCACCTCTCCTCTCACGGAACAGTTCTGGCATAATTCAATAATCCCTCCAGCCTGGTTTTCCCAAAGTAATTTCCTGTGCAACACTGCAAGTCAGTCGGGTGTTATAATTGGCAGAAGAGCCCCGCTAAACTCGGTTAACTTGCAGGTGGGTGAGCAATTTTATTTGTATGTGTGTGTGGAAAGGTGGGTGGTTGGCCATATCAGTCTTCTTAGATTAAGACCACCAGCCTCAGAAGGTTAGAAGGCTCAGCCCACAAGTCTCAAGGCCATTACCACAGAGCCACAGCTGCCTTTTTCTCTAAGGTCTTTAAACCTAACCACAACAATCCAGACACTCCAATAATGGGCAAAAGGGTTATATTACATGGACCCTGGTTGATTTTTTTTGTCTCTTTACACTCTGGGCCAGATTTACTAAACTGGGCAAATTAGCGTGAGAGCGCAATTTCTCAAAAGCGCTGATGGGAGTGGAGAGTTAAATTAAAGAACACAGATGCAGCCGGATCATTTCCATAATGGCAAACGCAATCTACCAAGAGCAGCGCAAATTAGTGTCTGGTTTAAGACATGCTTTTTCTGGGCAGTAAATAATGATGCAAATGCCAGTAAATTGACTAGCGCAAACCTTAGAAAATCACCTTGCATGATTAATTTATATACTCTCCTCCCATAGATTTTGCATCTGAAAAGGAAACTCCTACAAATGCATATGCAATAAGGTCGGCCGCAAAAATAAATGTCCACGCCTTTTCAATGATAATTTTTCAATGCGTGTCTTTAGTAAATCCTGTCAGTTTTTTAACGCCAAAAGAGGGTTTGCGCTGGCGCAAACTGTTAGTAAATATGGCCCTATGTATCTAATTTACTTTGGTCATCTGTGCTGCTTTGCTTAAACCTCCTCTGAAGGGCTCCAGGCTTCGTTCAAAATGGTCACAGATTCTACACAACACTAATATGCAACAATTGTCACCATTGACTGGTCATGTTGTTATGATACTGTGAGGTTGCGCAATTAAAGGTAGGGTAGGCAATTTCTGAGAGGTTAGCAATAGCAAGCTAGCTTTGAAAGCATAAGATCCCACACTCCCTTCAGAGCGCTTTCAAAAGCCACGCCTCCTCCAAAACATATGAATGCACACAGCAGAGCAGAGTCTGCAAAGCGCCACGAGAGACAGCCTTAAATTACACAAATGTCTCAAAGCATAACTTGAGCTCTGACCTGACTGCTGCAAATTCATTTTGGCATTGATAGTGTTGCCATAGAAATGCATATTTCTGTGTCTTGGGACGTGAAGAGCTCTGGGTAGAAAACATCACGGTTGCCATCTCTTAATTATGGTAGTTATGGTGTGAACGCAGCATAAACTCGTTGTTTTGGTTCAGGAGGAACTGTAAAATTTGTTTGCGCCGCTGGGTGACTGTCTACGGGTGCGTCTCAATCAACTCCCTAGTTCAGTAGTCAGGGCACTGATCAGGGAGTCAGACATTTTAAGGGTCTCAATCGCGAAATCCTACCAGTGTACTGAATCGTTCGCTCCCTATAAAGTTCCACTATGCACCGTGAAAACCAGGGAGCTTCGAACTTCACAATTGAATGAATTCATTCAAAGGTAAGTTTACATGCAATCTATTAATCCGTTTATAAACAAATTGATGGCTCAATCGGACTGAAAAGGATCGGTCATCCAGGCAAAAACACCAGTTATGCTGTGACAGCCTTGCAATGTTTTTTTCTGGATGCACCAAGTTTTGTTCGGAATTATGTAATACACACGTAAACAAATACATGAATCGGATTAAAATGTTTAGGTTACATATAAACAGAACTTTCAGAATATGAAATTCAATTGGATTCATTCGGATTGATGAAAATGAGTGAATGTAAACATAACTAATGAAACAAGACATTGTCACCATTATGTTCTATTTTCCCGCCACCTATCAATTGACACGGACGTTCATTTAACGAGCACACTGTGTATTTAAGTTCCAGTCTTAGTTTTAGTCCGATATTGTTGTGTTTTACACGCTGTTAGGCTGACCATTCTCTTCTGTGGATTACTTGTTTCTGTTTTTATTTAATAAATACTTGACGTTATTGAACTGATCTGTCTTCCTCATCATTGGACCAGATTGTGACAGTCATTTTCCGGGTTATATCCAGTTTGAAATTAATGGGGAACGGTTTCTTGTAATTAAAGATACATATTCACATCCAAATTTTATTGTAATAAATGGTATTCAAAACAAAACATTACATTTTTTCACAAGTAAATATTATTGGTCATTTTCATAGTAAGGTCCATTTTTTTAATTGTAAGAGCACCTTTGGGAGTAAAACTGGATACCTTGCAGTTTTACTCCCAAAGTGACATGGTGACATGTTGGAATTATTATCAACATAAATTAACAGATAAAAGCAGAAATTATCTAACAAACCATACTGACATATATATATATATATATATATGGCACAAATAAAACAAGAATCACTACATAAAAAAGAAACTAAAGTGCTTCTTAATCCAGTGATTCTACAATTTGTCAAATAAAAAAGTCATTTGTCTTCTGTTCAGTTAAAAGTCAAATATCATGATCTTGGGTTGTTTTTTGCTCACTGAACTCAAAAAGCACCCCACAATCTGATCCGTCTTCTTAATGCAAAGGGACCTCTTGAACTGTAGAGGAGAAAACACTGCACTGTTAGAGCAGTAGATGAAAGTTAATGACCGAGGAGATAGTGGAGCAGGATTGAACTATGATTTCTGCATCCAGCTAGAAGAGAACCAATCACACACTGCCTCTGCCTCTAGATAAATCAACCTGTCACAGCTGCCTGGAAGAATCGTAGAATACACATGAAGTATTTTCACGGAGTACGTTGCCCTCATCCATCACAAGACAGCCTCCAACTGGGAGGTACAGCTCAGAGACAGACAGTATGGAGGATCATCTTCATCCACTCCTCACAGCAAGTAAACACTCGTTACAAGCTTTTTGAGTGCGACGTGAGGACATTGCTCTTCAAACCATCTGTGCATGTTTGTCTCAGCTGACCTATGAGATCCAGCTTTGGTGTAAGATCTTTCCATCTGGTTGGTTTCTTCTGGTTGCGAAGTACAAACTGCTTAACAAATAATAGCATTGGGAAAAGATATTTCTGATTGATGAATTATCATGTTTTCTAACTAAAAACGGTGACAACTATTTTGGTAGAGGATGTCACACCTAGCCTACTGACTGCTTTTGGTGAAGTCTTGCTGTCTTTTGTCAGAGGTCTGTCACACTCACCGATTAAAAATGGAAGAAGGGTGTCAGACTAAATGCCTGCCTCTGACATTTCTCTCCGATTCCCTGTCACAAATTGCAACGCCCCTTTTGGCAGCAAATCAATCTAAAGCTCAGTGAAAGAATACCACATGAACAAAGTATTGCCTGAATTCAGATGCAACGGTGTAAATGTTTACTGGCAGCTTCAGTGAGAATAAATAAATATGGACTGTTCTGGCACCACTTTCTTATTTCATTAGCCATTTAAAGGGATAGTTCATAATTTACTCATTCTCAAGTCACTCCAAACCTGTATGACTTTCTTTCTTTTTTTCCAGTTGAACACAAAAGGAGATATTCTGAAAAGCATCTAAAAAGATTTTTTGATTGAAAAATATTGTCCAATGACGTTTTTTCATACATGTTTACAACATAAGGTTGAGTAAATGCTGACAGATTATTCATTTTTGGGTGAACTATTTCTTTAACTGTTGTTGCCGTTTATATGGACCTTTGTATTTGCTGAGAAATTGGATGA